TGGGGTGGTGGTGGTGGGGAGGGCATGAGCGGGGGTGTGGAGGGTGATGTGGGGACAGGGACACATATGTAATATCTTAATCAATAAAAAATATATTAAAAAAAAAACTAAAGGAAAATATCCTCGGGTGAGGATAAAAAATAGATATCTATGGTCCCTAATCTTAATTCAAAGACATTCAAGCAAATCACTTAAGAAAGACCATGTGTATTAATTCTTTTTCCTTCCCACTGTACAAAATGTTTCATACAGTCAGGAAAGCTACAGTAAAATATTTCCCAGAATGTATACAAATTCAGGGTCTCAGGACACCACAGTGAGGATCAGTTAAGACCAGAAATTAGGGAGTTTCCCCTACGAATCCTTCCACATGCTCCCTCCTTAGATTGATCCTAACAGCTGGCTGGTTCTGCTGGTCACTCATCTCTGTGGTGGTCAGTTTTAGTGAATCAGGAACAGCCAGAGGTCCTCCTGTGAAAACCCACATACAGTATTTTGTATAGTGCTTGGAAGTTCTGTTGCACTCTGTTAGGCAGACCCTGATCTCAGGAAAAATAGCCTGGTTTACAGGGAAGACACAGCTCCCCAGTTTGACAGGTCCTCAGCAGGGTGCCACATGGAGATCTGCACCCTGAGACTCTATGGTGGACATCTACTTTGTGTTATTGCTGCTCAGCACCCTAATACTCTTCCTATTTGGGGGACTCTCTGATTGTGTCAGTCTTGGTGGGAAGCAGGACCCAACCCTCCACTACAGAAGTCAAACAGGCCAGAAACTCCTTCCTGCCTCCCGGCAGGCAGAACACCAAAATGTGAAATAAGGCCAGCCAACTGGGTGTTCCAACTTGGATTTTGAGAGAATGACACCAAATCGGAGGAATTGTAAATTCTCCATGGTGGAATCAAGAGCCCAAGAGCACTGCACCCTGAACAAACAGTGGTACAAGTGCCAAGTGTGGTGACCAAATCAGACCAGTCTGTGATATGGCTTTGCCTGGCTTCCCCGCTGCCTAGGATCCCATGGCTTCCCACCCATTTTTCAACTTTCCCTTTAATTCTGTGAATGGCTTGATATGTTCCAAATTAGAACGTGGCCCTCATGGTTCGGAGCTGTGTGATCCTGAGCAAGTTACTTAAACTTTGTAAGTCTCAGTTTCTTTACCTGAGAAGTAGGTATTTTATATCGCGATCACAGGTTTGTTATGAAGATTAAGTGAGATAATACACATAACTAGAGGCAACAGGACAAAGACAGAGGTTGCTGACTCAAGACTACACTGCCCTATTCTATGTTTTAGCAGCTGCAGTTAGGCTTCTGGCCAGTGAACTGAGTGTTTTGTTTCTAATATTCAGATAGAAGCCAAAAGAACCCAGGAAGTAGTGAAAGACTGAGGCCTGTACCATTTCCCCTCTCCCCAATCTCCCTCCCAGCTCTGTCCTTCTCCCTCGCCAGTCATCCACTCCTATATGTGTTAGCAAAACTAGGAATCTGGCAGGGTTCCCTTTGACTCCTGACATCTGTCTGGGTTAAACTCCCAGAGATTGAAGGGGGGTGGGGGTTGTTTCTCGTCATCAGACCATTTCAGTTGGCTGTCATCCATTTACTAGCTGGAAAATGTTCCACAAAACTCGACCTTCCTTTGTAGTGCCCCAGCAGTAAGTGGGAACAGAGGTGCAGCCAGAGCCAGGCCACATCTATTGCAAATGCTCTTTCTTCCCACCACTCACACACACTCAACAGACTCAGCTCAGTGGATTGTGAAGAAAACAACAAAATAAGGGCCCAATGCGGGGGAGGGAATATATGTAATACTTTCAATAATAAAGATTTAATTTTAAAAAGAAAACAACAATATGTTACTGTGTCCATGCCTTTACCCAAATTCAAATAAGTGCATGGAGGTTTTATAAAAAACATCTTTGAAGATACCATTTTCACTCAAGAGTAAAAGATGTCAAGAGGCAAAACCAGTAGACTCCAAACTTTGAATTGGTGGAAACTGTTAAGATATAGCTACCCTTCTTCAAGAACTGGGATGCTAGCTCAGCATAAGTTCCAGGAAAAAGCACAGGCCTAGACAGAGTACAACAGGGCCAGATGACACCATGGTCTACTCTCACCATGGTAATATAATAAAGCAATGGGAACAGCTCAATGTGAATATCAAGAACAGTTTGAAAGCTAAAATAAGTCACCAATAGGTAATCTAAAGCTAGACTATCCAGTTCAGGGGGAGAGATGGGCAGTGTGACTTTTTTCTCTGGAGTATAAGTAGACAGAAGTGTTAAATAGACAGATTAACTATATGTAACAGAGTACTTCCAGTCTTCCTAAGTACTAACTAGATAGGGGACAACCCACTGGATGCTGTTGTATCGGGACTCCCAACACCTGAAGACAAAACCAAAAGCCTTGCCAATACCCATTTCCTAAGGGCAACTGAATCCAGGAGTAAGAATTTTTTTAAAAAGTTCTTTTTT